AGCGGGGACCTCCGATTGCCCACCGGTCGCCCTGCAGATCAGCCCTGATCACCGGCCAGGCCTAGGGACCCTACCCATGCACAAATTTCATGCACCAGGCCTCTAGTTACAGATAAAATATACATTTAATCATTCAGAGCAACTGGCTATTATTCTCTCTTCCTAATCTTTACCCTCTTATGTGGACTAAACTCACTATTCAAAGCCCACGTTCAAATGAGATTTCTTAAATGCATTTAGGAAAGAAAACGATTAGGAAAGTATAAACTAACTTAATTTGAAAGGATATTTCTTGATAAAATATTTATAACTTTCCTATATAAAGTGTGTAACTTCCTACCCAATAGAGTTAGATCTGTATAGGGTGTATATATCTAAACTTTTCTGAGTCTGCATCTGAATGTTTCCCTTGATATTATACAGTCTCCCAGATGTCCACATAGTGTCAACTCCTAGCCCAATTACAAGAATATGTTATTATTTTAAAAGGTAGCAAGATGGGTGTGAAGAGAGCAGAGCGCCTGAAGAGTGGCTCCTCTGTGTTATAACACATCCAAAAGCAACTTGGGCTTACTCTTTACAGGTGGCAGGGTACTATGGCCTTCCTGTAACATTACACCCCATACATGGGGAAAAAAAAAGGTAACAAGAAAGTGCTCAAACTAATTTAAAACCTACAGCAACATAATAAAAAAGTAGTCCCCATGTGTTGGGCATTTTGTTTACTCCTAAATGGTAAGCCTGCCAATTTTAACTCTACTGCCTTGTGGTTCCCTGGGAGGAAGCCCTGCTTCATGGTTAACATCACAGCTGTGAAATCAAAGCTGTGGGGTTTCATTCTAGGAGTGAGTTTTTGAGGGTGTTTGGTGGGGTTTTACCAATACTGGATGTTTATAAATTCCTTAGGCAGTTTCAAAGTTTGAAACTTGTACATCATAGAAGCAGCTGTAAACATCTCATGCACACCTGTTTTGTGGAGTGTTTAACACTATACAACTCAAATATGTGGACTTTAGCACATCCACCCTCTTCCTAGAGTCTAGGTAATGCATTATTCATTTTGACTTTCTAAGCCATTGAAAACATTCTCCATTTTGTGCTGAGTGATTTCATGAACTGCCTCTATGAGAACAATCCTAGAATCCTAAAAACTGCCTCTCTGAGCACAATCCTAAATTTATGCTAAGTGTGTGGTTTGGATGAGGAGACAGGTTTACATAGGTCCCACAAAAAAAAAAAAAAAAAGGTCTGAAAGGACCAGGTGTAATAGAAGGTAGCCAGGTAATTTGTCCAGGTTTGTGGATACATTTTCTTAAAAAGACATACATTTTCTTAACCATTTGAATTAAAATTATTCAGGAATATAGCACAATGAAAAATAATGGAATTGTCATCATTTAGGGGAAAATTTCATAATATCTCAAAGTAACTCCATATAAACCATGTGTATATTTTATACAAATGGATCAATAACTCACACTTTCTGAGAGCAGATATTGAATAAAATGAACATCACTATTAAAAACCTTCCATTACTAAAATTTCAAATTATCTATAATAATAAAAGTATAATATGCTAATTAGATCAGATAGCCAAACGACCTTCTGGACGTCATTCTGGATGTCCTTCCGGATGAAGCCACGGCAGCAGGGGCTGAGGCAGAGGCGATTAGGGGTGATCAGGCAGGCAGGCGAGCAGTTAGGGGCAATCAGGCAGGCAGGTAGAGTGGTTAGGGGCAGTCAGGCAGGTGAGCAGTTAGGGGAGATCAGGCAGGTGAGCAGTTAGGGGAGATCAGGCAGGTGAGCAGTTAGGGGAGATCAGGCAGGCAGGCAAGTGGTTAGAGGCAATCAGGCAGGCAGGTGAGTGGTTAGGGGCGATAAGGCAGGCAGGTGAGCAGTTAGGGGCGATCAGACAGGCAGGAAAGTGGTTAGGGGTGATGAGGCAGGCAGGCAGAGTGGTTAGGGGTGATCAGGCAGGCAGGCAGGTGAGCGGTTAGGAGCCAGTGGTCCCGGATTGCAAGAGGGATGTCCGACTGTCGGTTTAGGCCTGATCATCAGGTCTAAACCAGCAGTCGGACATCCCCTGAGGGGTCCCAGATTGTGAGAGGGTGCAGACCGGGCTGAGGGACACCCCCCCCCCCCCATGCACGAATTTCATGCACAGGGCCTCTAGTATATTTTATAATATATAATTTCTTTAAACATGTACACACATTTCACATTGCTGCATAGATCTACTAAATGTATTTTTCTGTCTTCCAAGGCACATGCATTTTTTAAATGAATAAATCATTAAACAAGTAGAGTGACTGGTATGCTGACTGTATTAATAGAAGAGAAGTGCTTCACTTTTAGAAAATATATCACCTTTCATATAGTTCTCTTCCTGGAAATTTCTGGTTAAACTAGAGGATCGAGAACAGCCCACAGTCCGGGTATGTGTCCTGTCCAGGTATCAAATCGTGACTTCCTGGTTCATGCTCAACCACTGAGCCACACAGGCTGGGCAGAATAGTTCTAGTTTTAATATGGTAGTCAGTTGTAATGGTAAGGGGGAGTGATGAGAATAACACTTTACTTTCTGTCCAATAGTTCTTTGGAGTTATTATTATTATTTACCAACTTTATTATTTTTGCCAGGAATTTTAGATTAGCTGTCATATAATTTTACCACACCTTTAAACATTGATTTAATTGACATATAACATTATTAGTTTCAGTTGTACAACATAATAATTCGATATTTGTATATACTGTGAAACGGTCACCACAGAAATCTAGCTAACATCCTCATTAAACCTTTTTGTGGCTTTAAAAGTGAAAACTTAAGTTGTATTGAGTGCTTTGCATTAGGATGGCCATTGTTGATGAACATTTGGGAGAAACATGATTTAGAAGGAAGAGATCAGCCTCATAGTCAGAAAGATCTAGGTTCTGGGCCTGCCCACATTCCTCAGGACCGTGCGGCTCTGGAGCAGGTGTATACAATTCCGTGTTGTAGTTTCTTAATCTGAAAAGGTTGTGGTTAAGGTTAGAAGCAATATGAGAAGTACACTAGATGGTATGACTGGCAAACAATAGGCTACAATGCTGATTACAGGCAGATTTGTGCTGAACTTCTGCACACAGAATACCCAAAAGCCTATGAATTGCACTATGAAGTGAAGTTTGAAAGTCTACAGTAACATAAATCCATGGCTCACAGGATAACGTTGTGTTCGACAGTAGTCCTTTGGTTTTGCTTATAACAAGAAAATAATCGATTTTTTTTGGGTAAGCCTTGGAATATAGCCTGATGCTAAAATTAGTAGTTATCTTTACTGATCAGCATGGATATTCTGTTGCCTTTTTAAAAGAAGACTACTGTTCACTTAGATTACTTATATTTACACAAAATGAGGTCATGACTTGAAAGAAGGGCTTTGTTTAGCTGAAATGATTGAGCAGAACTTGCAACACTGCTGTTCTCAAATGCTGTGTTTTCTTTTGGGTAGAGAATTTGGAGAATTTCTCTGTATGTAGAAATTAGGACACATTGTGGTATTTTTTGTCTTAAAGGCAGTTCAGAGGTCTATCTCCATTTTAGATTATCCCAAATTTCTACTTAAGACCTATGAATTGTGATAGAGATCAGACTTTTCTATAGGCATCAGGTTGTCATCCACAATTAAACAAAATGCCGGAGGTTTTCCAGTTGGACATATATGACAATGCCTCAGTGATCAAAACATGGTCGTCAAGTGAAACAACACTGGTGAGTGGCATCTGTGTTTACTCAGAGCCTCATGTGGTTGTGGCCTGTATCTACTTTCCTCTAAATCTTGAGCTTCAAAGAAGCTGAAAATTCTTTTTTTGTATCAGTTTTTCCTGGTTGATTTTGTTAAATAAAACTAATGTGCAGTTGCTGAGAATGAACATAGAAAGGAGCATCGGAAACATGTGGCATTTGTCTAATTTCCAGGACAATGGGGTAGTACCTCTGAAAAGAAAATTGATTCAGAATATGATATGGAACATATGCTAGGGTAAACCTCGGAGACTGAATTCATCTCGAGCATGAAATGTTAGAAGCTCTGAGAGTATTCACTGGAAATCCAGGAACACTGTCTGGTTCTGACACATTTCTTCTTCTTTCAATAAAATCCAGATCTGGGCTGGTGCTAGCGTTAAGCCCCGGGGCAGCTAGAATGAAGCTGACATCAGTGAAATTCCACTATTTATCACACAAGCTACGTGGGTAACTTAAGTACTCTACCCCCAACATTTTGACACACGCAATTATTTTGCTTTTAAGAGACAGCATTTGTTTATTTGAAAAGGTTATTGCTAAAAGTACCATCTTCGGGTAAATGTAGTCAGATTTATATTTCACGGCTATACTTTTATAAATCAGTTGGAAAATAGCTAAGAACTGATATATGGTTGACAGCTAGTTTTAGTGGTATTCAGAATTTCTGCAAGGATACTTTGACATGTTCCCTTGAGTCTTCACAGCTCATGAAAACTCCAAACAGCATTAAAGACAAGAGGGGAAAAAAACTTTAACACAGTATGTTCAAACCTCAGTGAATTTTATTTTGCTCCAGATTTTCCAAACTAGCTTCAGTTTGGAACTATTTTTTTTCAACTGTTTAAATAATTATTGCAATGTTTCAATGTGTCCAGTGAAAAATAAAAGGCCCACTACGTGCTTGCTTAATTCAGACATGAAAATGCCCAGGTCGAAGCGCTGCACCTGTGGATAAATGCGCATTTGTATGTGTCTGTGTTTCTGTTGGTTAAGAACATGGGTTCTGAGTCCGACTGCTTGTCTTCCAGATGGGCTCTGTGGGGAATGTTACACAGGCCACTGAACTTCTTTTATTTTGGCTTCTTTGTTGGTCTAAATATGGGTGCTAATAGTACGTATTGCATGGGAGTTATGAGGATGAAATAAATTAATACATTTAAAGAATTTAGAAATGCTTGGCTAATAGGGGATCTGTAATAAACATTAACTTCTATATGTACATGTATATGGTATATGTGTGTGCATACATGTGTGTGTAAATAGTATGTAGTAGACATAGACGTTGATAAGTCCAAAATGTATTTAATGTTCCTTCTTATATCTTACCCCTGCTCCCAACATTGTTATATAAATGTTGCTGTAGAACCAAATATGTGTTGAATACCTCATAAAATCTTAAACTAGATTCCTTACCAAAGGAAATATATGTTACTGAATGCTTTAAAACTGGTTGACTATCCCCTTTCTCTCAGTTTATCCTCAAATATTTTCTAAGTGTAGAGAGTATTTAAGCTGCTGGAACAATCCATTGGGAATCCTCCAGGTGTGTGTATGTAACTGATGGAGTGGGCATTTCCACGAGTCTGTTCCGTATGGACATTAGGGTGAGCAGACAACACAGCAAAGGAGGAACACGACATCTTTGTTCTTTCTCCTTGTGGAGAAGGTGGATTTTTTTTGTTTTGTGTGTGTGTGTTTTTCCTACCTGATAACTTTTGCTTCTTCAGTGTTCTTTGGTGACTTCAATAAACGATTCTTTCCCATGCCAAGTGGTTTGCCACCATTTCTCTAAGGCTCTTGTCTTTCTGTTTGCCAGCTGGGGTTTGGCTTGGTGCACG